ACGAAGCTTACACTCCACCTTCATTTGCAACCAGCTTCATCACTCGCCTTCGTCGCTCTTGACGACTTTGCCTCAGCCTTGGCAGCGCTCCCAAATGCAATTACTCCCCGTTGGCCGTCAAATACGGAGTATGAGGGCACTTTGAATCGAGCCTTGGAGGTGGCCTGCCATTTCAGCTCTTTATTCTTCTTCTTTAGTGAGCTAATCTCTCCTTAAACATCTTTATACATATGTTGAAGCAGGGAGAGTTGCGCTGATAGTTGATAAACTTCAAACGTCCTGTTCTGCAGTCGGCGAAACAAGTTAGTGACCGCAGTCATGGTCTCCACACATGACTTCAGCATATACGAGTTAGCCTCTATGTCTGATTGTGTAGCCATTATCTGCTCAACTGACATTTCTGGATAGCTGAGCACATGGGACGGTGGAAGGGCGCTTGGTTGAGGTTCAAGGGTGACAGAATCGGTTATCTCTCTTGTGGACTCGTTGAGGTCTGGAAAGAGGGTGAGAGAACCACAGGAAGAGGCCATGTTAGAGGAGGAAGGGATTGTAGAGTGATTCAGAGGAGGATCCACAAAAAAGTTTGCAGAATGGTTTGTATCTTTGTTTTGCTCTGCCTCTCTAACTAGCCTCAACCTTGGTTTAAAAAGAGAACGAAGAGAAGAAGATAATAGAGAGGGCGCAAGAGCTGAGGTAGATACGACGTTCGAAGCCGCATGTCCGGCGCGACTTTTGAGGGCGAGACATATATATATATCTTTGTATATATATAGACACGACCACACAATGTTTTCTCCAACGGTCCGACACGACCACACAGTGTCTTCTCTAACGGTCCGACACAACCATACAATGCCTTCTACAACGGTTCGACACGAACATCCAGTGTCTTCTACACCGGTTTGCCACAACCGTACAATGTCTTCTACAGTGGTTCGACACGACTACACAGTATCTTCTACAACGGTCGGACACCACCATACAGTGTCTCCTATTTTATTTTACTTTTAGTTTATTTTTCTGTTTTGTTACTCTCTCCAAACTCAAGTTGGTTTGTGTTTATCCTCCTTGAGTTCGAGGGGGGCTGTTAGTGTCTATGCTTTATGTAGTGTTGTCTCATCTATACGCTTAGTGTATATGCTGTACGTAGTGCTGTTTCCTCTATATGCCCCTCTCCTTTTATAGGCTCCTCTCCTCTATGAAAAGGCTAAACTAAACATTTGTAATACACAATCAATATATACACAATTTATTCTCTCTCTCTATACATTATTCTAACAGGGTCACTAACCTTTCAGTGTTATATTATATAAATTGAAATTTTATAGAGAAGATTGAATATTGTTTTTGGACGTGAGCCTTAATGTGATTGAGAAGATTGAATATTGTTTTTAAGGATGATTGGTACTCATAGCATATTTGTTAGTCTTTTCAATAAATGCATGAGGTCTTTTCTTGTAAGTTCTTGCTTCCTCTATCACACTTCATCATAAATTAATCGTTTGCTTATATTCAAGATTTAGATGTGTTTATGTTTTGATAAATTTCCTGAACTGGTTGCTACATTTTAATGCAACATTTAAGGCATGGAAAGAATGGTGTGGAGGAAGTCCTTGGAATGGGTCCCCTATTAGATTATGAGAAACAAGGTCTTGAAAGTTTGATGCCAGAGCTCAAAACTTCAATAGAGAAGGAAATTAAGTTTGTCAACCAATAGGGTGGAGAAGCCTCATGCTGCTCTTGAGGTCGATTCTTTCTCACCAAAACTGTCACAATTTTGCTTCTGTAATATGGAATTTACACACTAGTCAAATGATTTGCTTGTTTGGGTTAAGATGCGCACAGGCTGATTTTTGTTGGAATGGGGTGTTATTGACTCTTGAGGTCTCGTTAAGAAGTTTCAGTGGCTTGTTTCTGTTCTTTAAATTAAATTAAATTATTACCCTCATCCAGGTTTGTTATTCTTACTTTCAAATTCTACATCTTCTTGTGCTCAACAAACATTGGGAGTCTGGATTTGAATGGAATGTGAAATGGCGGTTATTGATTTTCTTTATGCAGGTTTGTGATATTCGTTTTATTTGATGAAATAGCACCCTTTTTTGGGGTTGGTACATTTGCGTATAGGCCAGAGATATATTCTTGTAGTTCCTTGGAGGATTTTGACATCTTGAATATAAATTAAGAGGTTCGATATTGTAGTGTTATCAAAATTTGGCATGTAAACAAGGTGAGCCGAGTAGAGTAGTAGGTTTTTCAAACTTGACATAAAAGCTTAGTAAGTTTTAGAATGTGTTTAGGCTTAGTTTATTTATCTTTCAAGTCAATTTTAGATTAGTTTTAATCGAGTTAATAATTGTTGAACTTGAGTAACGTAATTACTTGTAAGCTTGGTTTGAAAATTTAATCAATTTGAAAATGTGTTCAATTTAGGTTTGTTTACATTGTGAAATGTATTATTAATGAGTTGAACAAGGGTCAAGTTCCCTCAACCAAATAAGGGTTGATTACTAATTTGGTTTCATGATCTTAGTCAGAATGAATATACCTCTTTTAACTATTAATAAATATGAATTTATTTCTTTATTTATGAATTTATATATTTTGACCTCGTGAATTATATATTTTTATCTTTTTAGACTACTTCTAAAAAAAAGTATTTGTACAATTTTTATAATTTAGGATGTTAATACATACGGGATTATAGACGAGGTAATAGTTGTGAGCAAGGTTCTGAAAAGCGGTTGCGGTCGCCGTAACGGTAGCGGTGACGCGGTTGCGGTTGCGGGGTGTAAAGACCGTAGTGTAATGGTTGCGGTAACCGGAACCGTGAATTTTTTTATTTTTTGCATAATTTGAAAAAAACTTACCGATACGCATATTTTTTTCCCATGATTATATTTATTGGATTAAAAATAAATATTGATCAATTTTTGTAAATTTTCAAGTACGATCCAATATATTTCATATTTTTAAATCACTATAAACTGAGTTTTTTACATTTTATTTTAATGATTAATGACTTTATATTTTACAAAAAATTAATTACTAACTATTATATATAAGATAAATAATGACAAAAGTAAGAGAATAAATAAGAACCTAAATATATATATATATATATATACATATTTTAACCAAGCCAAATAGATAATGACCACACTTATTATTATTATTATTATTTTCAAACAATATATAGATAGACACACACAAATAAAATGGTTTAGTGATAGCAGCTGAATAGAATAGCATATGTCTTATAGTTTCAACAAATCAATAACATGTTCTTCATCTTCCCTCTTCTCTCTCTCTCTATCTCTTGCTCCTCTATTTTCTCTCTTTATCTTTCCTCTTCTCTCTATCCCTCTTCTTCCCCCATTTTCAGCTTTTTTTTGTGTTTTTTTCGAAAGAAACAGTTTGGAACCGTTACGTAACGGTGCGTAACAGACCGTTACGACTGTTACGGCACCGTTACGACCGCTACGGCAGCCGCAACGGCCGACACACCTGTGAATCTCAATCACACTGCAAAAGCGGCCGTAACGGGTGGCGGTAACCGCCAAAACCGTTACGTAACGATTGCGGCCGCTTTTTAAAACCTTGGTTGTGAGGCTTTTGGTACTCTATAAACAATTCACAATCACTAATCACCAGTCCAGCCCCATATTCCGCAGGTACAGCTTTCTCTCAACTTGCTCAATGAGATTGAAAACCCTGGGAAAATACATTGATTCTCATGCTTCTGGGTAGGAACTTTGGGTACAAATTGCTCTGTTCCAAAACCATGAATTTATGGAATTTAAAGGGGATTGCAGCCATTGACTTAGAGCACAACTATTATCCCTTCAAATTCGATTTCGTACAAAGACTACTTCAAGATAATTTTCGGAGTTCCTCACGGAGAAGATATGGGAACCAAATTTCAAACCATTTTTCTGCTGTTTAGGTGAGGTTTCTTGGGCTTTTGATCGAGTTCTATCAAGAGAAACCCCTCTTTGGAGTTGCAAAATCCATTGGCAAACCTATTAAAATTGATCTGTTTGACTAGGGTTTGTATGTATTGAAATTAATTTTCGAAAGCCCTATGCTAAAATTGGAGAGGTTTGATAGCTTCTTAAAATGGTGTATGTTCTCTCTTCTAGTATCTTATTTTCTTTAATAATATTGCATCTTCAGAAAAAATATTAAAAAAATTACTCAAAATTTAGGGTGTGTATATTAGGTGCATTTAAAGTATAAAAAACTGACTAAATTGCGAAAAAAGTCTACTAAAATAACAAAACACAAAAGGAAAATAAAATCAGGTTGAGGGGATCAAATTGAAACACTCTTTTATATATTAAAAACTATAAATTGACGCAATTTGAAAAGGAGAACTTACTGGTAAGTCCCATACGTAAAGTTTAAAATCCATCTAGTCCCAAAACAAAATATTTACACTAATTAGTATATATATTTTTAATTGTTATAAAAAATCTTCTTCTTTTTTTTATTTTTATTTTTTCTTTTTTATAAATATACAGACACTGTTACTTTCTACCACCATTGGACTTCTATCAGACAGTCACCGAAATGTTCAACATCATCGGGAAGTTGTCGGAGTATCACCAAAAGTCCGCCGGAGTATTGTAAACGTCACTGGAAGTTACTGAAATGTTCAAAACATTTGCTAGACGTTAAGAATATCGTCGGATACTTATTGAAATGTTCAGAATATTGCCAAAAAAAAAAAAAGAATAAATGGAAAAATTAGAGTAAAAAATAACATGTGCTAAATATTGATAAAGTAAAAAGAAAAAAAAAGTAACTACAAAAAATAGCAACAATGAGAAAAAAAACATATATTATTTTTCAATTTCTATAAAATTTAAACAAATAATTTTTAATATTGATCAAACTAAAAAATAAATTTTAAAATTATAAAATGTAGAGTGAAAGCAAAAATCTATTATGAGTACCTAATATTTCCACCTAATATTTCCTACTATACGACTAAAAAGGGTACGTAGCCATCATTAGATATCTATTTCAACGCACTTTGGCCTCTCCTCTTCATGGCTTCTTCATCTTCATCCCCCATTATCATTGAGAAACTCATCCACACACACACATACAAATTCATTCTCTTCTTCTTCTTCTTCCTCGTATTCTTAGCTTCAATCAAACATTCCAATGGATGCTACACATCCATCTTCAGCTTTGGTGATTCGATCGCCGACACCGGCAACTTGGCTTGCATCTCGGAGTCTCCTCAGCCTCCCCACTTCATGTTACCACCCTATGGTGAAACCTACTTTCATCGCCCCACTGGCCGTTGCTCCGATGGCCGCCTCGTCATCGATTTCATCGGTACAGTACAAAAACACACACATATAGACATATTTTTTTAGTAGTTTTTTTAGGATGAAATAATTGCTAAAACAGTTGATGCCTTTGGCAAATACTGTAGAAGATTTTTATTGTTGTGAAAGTTTACTTTTTAGTTGGTTTAGAGTTTTTTTTTTTTTTGATTTGTTTTTTTTTTTTTTTTTTTTTGGGGGGGGGGCTCAACTAACACAGAATATTATTTTACCCAGCGTGCTTAATTATCGAAATTATTTCAATTTCACCCCGTCTAGAAGTGGGTCTTTGTATATTTTTTTATAATTAAGGGGTCTAAATGTACAATCTTAAAGTTGAATAATGTTATAATTGTAATAAATATTTTTCGTTTTTATTTTTAGTGACATTTTTTGAATTTTTTCATTTTTAAAATCATTCATTACTCAAAGGAAATATAGTAAAAGAAATATATATACATATATATATCACTAGCTTTGTTTTTGCTATTAGATCTTTTTTTTAGGTAATACGGAAAGTAAAACAACAGCCCAAATTAGGAAAGGAGAGGGTTAATCCCTCTCATACATAATTCCAATCATGTCAGCCATTAGAATGGGTCTTAGCAAAATAAGGGGGTCTTTATAGATCTTCAAGTCTTCCACTTGGTTTTCTCCCATATGAGCAAAGGGCATCTGTACAATGATTGACTTCTTGAAAAATGCGCTTGATAGTCCAATCCATTGGGAGAGGTAAAGAATTTGATGTCTTCCACAAGAGCACAGTAAGGGCAATTTGAGTGAGCCCCTTTATTGAGGAGTTTGATAATATCTTGACAGTTTGTTTCAATCATCACATTTCTCCAACATTTTTTAATGAATGATGATTGTTCCGTAATAAATAGTCCATATTTCTGTTTCAAGATTTGTTACTACATCCAGCTTTCCAAAATATCCAAGAATCTAAAAATTTTTTGCATCTCTAGAAGCAATTTTTTTTCAACTTTTCTTGGCACATCCATCACCATATAGCTTGATATTATCTATCGGAGGAGGCAACCAATTGATTAGTTTAGTTATTTGCTGATCAGAGCTTTCGTGGCATTGGAAGGCCTCATGGATCTCTTTGCTATTAGCTCTTGCTATAACTTTAGGAGTTATAGCTTTAGGAGAGTATTTACTAAAGTAAACAAATTTAGAAAAAAAAAAGAAAAGAAAAAAGTGACCTTTTAACACTTTTGACACAAACAGGGTGAGTTCTGTCTGAAATATAATCATCTTTTCTTTTTGTCTTTTAAATTGTCTGAAATCGAGCAATAAATTTTATTTTATTTTTTATTTTGAGCTTAAATAAGTAAAAAGTAATTTTTTTGCACTGATTTTCCAGCTGAGTATCTTGGTCTACCTTTGGTGCCACCATATTTCGGTGGGCAAAATGGAAGTTGTACGAATTTCCAAGAAGGTGTGAATTTTGCAGTTGTGGGTGCTACTGCTCTGGATATTGACTTCTTTGAGCAAAGAGGAATTCACAATCCCTTCACAAATTGTTCTTTGGGAAATCAGTTGGATTGGTTCAAGAGAATGTTGCCATCTCTTTGCCACACTCCTTCAAGTAAGTTTTCTATATATGTATATGTATGTATGTATGTATGTATGTAAGTTCTCTCCTTTCCAAATTCATGTTAAAGGATTATTTTTTATTTTTATTTTTATTTTTTTTATCAGAAAAGGAGAATATATTAAGTACCAAATTAGATTACATCTGAAAATAACAGAGTCATAAGAGGGCTAGGGGATACACATTCCACAAAGGGGAATATGTTGAAGGATTATTTGTTCTCAATTTCTTTTATTTTTTAATTTTAATTTTATTTTTTTTAACTCTCTCGATAAAAAGAAAAAATTGTAATTATTAGCTCAGGTGAGAATCCTGCAATATAAAATCTCCAGACATAATCAACTAAACAAAGTAACAGAGAGATTTAGAGACATAAAATCTTGTACTCAAATTCACCGAGTCATTGAGTGCTAAACAAACATAACTATTGCTTGAATGAATTTGGTCATCAGATCTCATAGAAAAATATTTGTGCTTTGCAAATTTTTTTTACATAAAATTTGGCTTTTACTGTGTTTTACTTTATCATTATTTTAAAAACATGTCAGTCAAAATTATTGTGAGAGTAATATTATTCAAATTAATAAATTTTATAAATTAGATTATTTTTGTTTATTGATATGACACCTACACTACTAGAAAATTGGCTTTTTGCGACTAATGTTTTTGCGACTGATTATTTGACCGTCGCAAAAACTAATATTTGCAATAGCACCCTCCTTTTATTATACCTATGCCCTAACAGAGACTGATTTCGCCTGGACTCTCATTTCCCCCAAATCTGACCAACCCCTAAACCGACCTAACGATATTCTCTCTCTCTCTCTCTCTATATATATATATATATAATCGAACCCTTTCTTTCGTGTATATCTCCATCTTCACAGAATCCAAACCCTAATTGCTGTCGCCGACTCTCTCTCTCTCTCTATAGTCCGTCAAGACTATGAATGGCCTTAAATGAGGGGGATTAGTAATGGCGTAGGGGAGGTATAGGGGTGTAAAAATGGCCCGCGGCCCTAAGTGGGCCCGACCCGATTAGGCCCGTGTCCGAGCCTAGTCTAGGACTCTGAGCCTGGGCTTGGGCCGTCATTTTGAAGCTGGCCTGGCTCGTGGGCTTACTTAAGGCCCACTCAAAGTTCGGGTCGAGGCCCGGCCTATCCGAGGGCCAGTGTCTTTTTTAATAGAAAAAAATAAAATTTTAGTGAAAAAAATTGAAAAAAAATATTAAGGCCCACCCAGGCTTGGCCCAATTTTGAGTCTAGGTCTAGGCCCGCCGACCTGTCCAAGGCTTGAATACCCCTTGGGCTTGGGCCTAGGCCTAATTTTCTGGCTCGCGGCTCGGCCCAAATTTTGGTGAGAGCCTACGCGTCCCGACATGGGCCGTCTCGAGCCCGAGTAGGCCAGGCCAAATTTACACCCCTAGGGAGGTGGTATTAAAAAATGAATCTCTTAGGACTATGGGTTAACTTACTATTTTACTCTTGTGTTTATTGCTAAATTTATTACTATGATATTCACTCTCAACATTTATTAATATTTTAATATTAATAATTTAATATAAAATTTATTTTGATAAATATATATAATTTAAAATGGGAGATTGACCAATAAGTCTCATATTTTGGACTTTGTAATCCATATAGTCCCATATTTTTTTTTGTGATCTATTTAGTTTTTTTGGATGCGTAATGGCTCATTTGTTGCTATATTGGAGTGTCACATTTAGAAAAAATACACTAAAAAGTTTTTTTAGTGTCACATTATATCCGTTATGTTAGAGTATCACATTTGAGAAAAGTACACTAAAGAGTTTTTTTTTAGCGTGTCACATCATATCCCGTCACATTGGGGTGTCACATGTCACGTTTGGAAAAAGTACATTAACAAGTTTTTATTTTTTTTAGAGTATTATATCATACCCGACATGTTGTCACGTTTGAGAAAAGTACACTAAGGGATTTTTATTTTTTTTGAAGTGTCACATCATATTAGCCACGTTGTCACATTAGGGAAAAGTACACTAAAGAGTTTTTATTTTTCTTGAAGTGTTACATCATACTCGCCATGTTGTTGCATTAGAAAAAAGTATACTAAAGAGTTTTTATATTTTTTGAAGTAAAAGTTTTAGTGTCACATAATATCCACTATGTTTTCACATTTAGAAAAAATACACTAAGGCGTTTTTAATTTTTTTGGAGTATCACATCGTTGGAATGTCACATTAATACCTGCCACATTGGAGTATCACATAATACCTGTCATATTAATAAAATGGTATAGCTGTTTACCAAAACACTATCAAAATATAAAATAAGATCACGTGGAAAGAAACTCTCCACTAAAAAGACTTAATAGATCAATAGAAAAAATTTAGAACTAATTGGAGTACTTGTTCATGAGATGAGATTTATTGCTAAATATCAGTATCAAAAAAAATATATTTATAAAATATAGTTTTTAATATTAAAATATATATAACTCATCAAAGGGTATTTATGGAATTTTTAATATAAAATTAATTTAATAAATATATTTTTTAATATTAAAATGTAATAATATATTTATAATATATATAATGATATATTAAAATTATAGGTACCAAAAAAATATGTATTTATAAAATATAATTATTAATATATATATATATATATATATTTAACATAAAAAATATATTTATGGAATTTCATATAGTTAATACCATCATAGAATGATAAAATAAACATTAATTCTTATTAGCCTGATGATCATAAAACAAACAATTTTTTTTTTTTTTTTTAGTTCTCTCACTAACTATCTTTTCACTAATAATTTTCACACTAAAAATTCAACATAACTTTACTCTGAAAACAAACAGGATAAATGTATGGAAGTCAAAGTTCGAAAAATTTATAAAATGTTTATAGTATACACTAAATATGGAAATCTGATTAGATGTGGACTCTTTAAAATTCATGTGTTGCATATGTAAAAATTATTCAATGACATTATCAGTCATTATTGTCATTTTTATCACGTCACATAACACTAAAATTATTTTTACAATGTGAAACCCTAACTCTATTCCCTTATCTCACCTACCGCCCACTACTGCCAACTCCGTCCCTCCTTAAGCCTCTTCTTAGCCCCTTTTACCACTCTTAACCCCTTTTCACCTCTGGTGCCAACTCCAGTTCATATTTACTTATGGTATTGCACCCTAGCCACTTCCATCATCTTTTCTGTCCCGTCTCTTTGCACTGTTGCGACTCTTACCCTCTACTTCTCATAGCCTTTGTCCCAATTTCCCACTATTGCGACCCTAACCTTACAGTCCTTTCTCTCGCCACCATATAGTTGTTCTTTCTCATAGTCAATCTCTCTCTCTCTCTCTCTCTCTCTCTCTCTCTCTCTCTCTCTCTCTCGATCTCTTTTACACTCTCTAGCTCATATGTGTTGTAGAGTGATGAAGTTATAAGGTAGAGAATGAGGTGTGGATGATAAAGATGGATTGAGAATGGGTGGACAAAGGTGGGAAGAGTTATCGGAGATGAGAATGAATAAGAAAAAGAAAAAAAAACTAGAGCTCGTGTAGCTTGGTGAGGGTTGGGTTAGGTTTAGGATTTAATAGGTTATGATAGGATACATTTGTAATTAAAAAAAAAATAGAGAGACGAAGTTTCAAAAGTGTAAAAAAAAGGAGAAATTACAATTTAGCCTATATTTTAAAAATAAATTTTAAATTAATAATAAAATTTATCAACTTTAACAATTGAAATTCTAAATTTTTTCATCACTTTATAATTTTTTTTTTGTTTTTGGAAGGGAGGGGGGTTGTTGTTGTGACCTTCTAACTAGTTCACAATTTCTCCTTAAAAAAAAAGGTAAATTATAGTGACACCCCTTGAGGTTTGTTCTTAATATATATACATTCTTCACGTTTCGAAAATTACCATTACAAGAAAAAGCACTATTGGTGACTGAAAAATCACATTTCGTCGTTGAAAGTATAGCATTTGGCAACTAAAAAATTTTTATAGCCAAAAGTATAGGTTTTGACGACTAAAAATTTGTTTGGTTGCCAATATATGGCTTTTAGCGACTAAAAAAAATTTAGTAGCCAAAAGTGAGGCATTCGGCGACTAAAATCTGTTTGGTCGTCAAAAGTGAGGCTTTTACCGACTAAAAAAATTTTAGTACTCAAAAGTAAGGCCCTTTGGCGACTAAAAAAAAATTAGTAGCCAAAAGTGAAGCATTCGGCGACTAAAAACATGTTTAGTAATTGAAAGTGAGACTTTTTGGCGACTAAAAAAAAGTTTAGTTGCCAAAAGTGGTGTCCTTTTTTTTCTACTAAATAATTTATTTTTACATAAATTATGTTCAATAAAAAATAATTATGTTTATATATATACTTTGATATTAATACAGGTCTAAGTACTATATAAATAATATATGTTGCATATATAATTATATAATGTTATGGAGGCGTAGTGGAAAAAGTGTGTTGTATAAGGTTTATGGTGTAGGAGGTTGGTGGTTTGAATCTCCACAAGAGCAGGGTGTAATTTTTTTTTCCCTGTTTTTTTTTTTTCAAATGAGCTTTTAGCGACTAAATCTGTTTGGTGGCCGATTCCTTGAGTATTGGCGACGAAAATATTAGTCGGTAAATGTATAATTTAAAAAAATATAATTGACTATTGGCGACTAAAGTTTTGGTCGGTAAAGACTTTCTTTTTGGCGACTAAAAGTTTTTTAGTCGCCAATACCTTTCCCGACCGTTTTCCAGCGACCAAACAAGCGACTAAAAAATTTAATTGGAGAAACTTAAAAACCGACTTTTGACGACTAAAAATTAACTTTTGACGACTTAAAATTTAATCGCCAAATATATTTTTTCTTGTAGTGTACATTTCCCTCCTTGTGGTTTGCAATCACATTGCAATTTACTAATTCTATTACTTAACAGTAGAGTTAGCAAATAACTTTTGCTGAACCTCAACAACTAAAATTTTTAAATACCAAATTTACTCTCAAATTACGTTAACTCTTTGAGTTGAGAAATTGTTTTATAAACTCACCTCATGACTATCATCTCCAAGCAGAGTATCACCTTTCTTTCTTCTCCTTTTACCTACTGCTTTGGCCAATTATTTTCACCACCACTAGTGATGAGGTATTACACATCTACACATCTTTGACCCACTATTAACACCACTGTACCGAGACACTAGGTGAAGGTACACTGGGATGGTGAGGGAGTGATGAAGTCACTGGCATGGAAGAATTGAGAGATTGTTAAGGTACACTGGTGGACAGCACCACACCATTGATTGTGAAACCCATATTCATTATGTTGTTGCTCAATCTCTTGAAAAAGTACATCTGATTTGTGTGTGTATATATATATATATATAATGGTTGTGTTGATTTAATTGTAGCCCATGTGACTTTTTTGTGATGTCATGAACGCTGATTGAAATTTATTATTTATAGTGATGCAAATTGCTGAGGATGATCAGTAGGGAGCAAAGATAGTAATTGAATAAATGTTTGATGATGATTTGCTTATCTTCTTTCTTTTGCTTTGTTTCTCAGTGGGTATAGAGAAATCAATTATTGGTAGTGTTGTCTTGGGTAATGGTGAAGCTGAGATGTTTGATAATTTGTCTATGAGCATTGATGGGTGAGAGATGATGGATGTGAATCGTTATGATAAAGGTTGGTGGCATGTATGTTATGGTTGAGACAAGAGATGATGGTTGTAATAGTGGGATTAGAAAGGGAAGAGGGTAATATGATACTTTTATAATTTCATTGAAAGGCATTAAGGTCATTATGTATTTTTGGTTTAGTTTTGTTAAGGGACAAGGTCTGGTGGGGGTGTAATGTAATTTGCAGAACGTGAGATTTCTATTAAGGGTAAATTTTCAGGGGTGTTAGTATAATTTATTCAAAAATAAAAAAGAAAATGGTATTAATGGCCGACACAATTATAGTGTGTGACATCCTCACATACGTCACGGTTTGTTTTTATTTTCAAAAATGATTTAGACCTCTAAAAGAAGAGCTCTAATAGAGCATTAATTTGTCTTTTTCTTCCCTCTTTTTTGTCTTATACTTCACTGTTTTATTTTTTTATTTTTTTATTTATTTTTATTTTTTTTATTGGTTGACAGCTCATTAGAGCTGTCCTTTTGCAGCTCTAATTAGAGCTCCGGAGCATGACCCTTTTATTTTTGTTTTGTTTTGTTTTTTTATTGCACATGTGTACCAGGTGCTTTTTAATTTTAATTTTTTTGGGGTTCAACTTTTAGTACTTATTTGGAATAATATATTCGTGCAATAAAGTTTTCATGGACCACGAGGTAGAATTATTTATTAAGTAAATTATAAACATATTTCTTAATTTTTTTTAAAACATATATTATTTTTTACAATTTTAAAAATTATATTTTGTCTTTTTAAATTTTTAATCACATAATAAATGATTGCTTTTTATTAATAAATAAATTCAATTAATAAGTTTTATTAATGTTAGAAATATATTTCAATAACAATTCAACTATTTATATTATTGTATAGGAGAGTAGTTAATTTTTTTTTTGTTAATTCTATTAAATAATTTTTTTAATAAAAGGGTATTTGTAATTTTCAAAAATAAAGGAGGCAATCTGTATTTTAAATAAATTTTAAAGGACGTATTTCTTATTTATCCTTATTTATTTATGGAGAAATAGAAAATACACGAAACAGCCACAAAATAATTGCACTACCAATGTTTTTTTTTTGAGTGGTGATTCATCCCACTAATTTTTTGACCACTAATAGCACTAATGAACTAAAAAAAAAAAAAAAACTAAAGCCAAAAAATCACATCACTTTGGTGGGGCCACTGTGCCACATCATTAGTGATGCTCTAGAGCTCCCAATTTAGTGCTTTAAAACATTATTCAATAAAAAAATAACAATGATTCATCCCACTAAAAACATCACCACTAATAGCACTAATGCATTAAAAAAGTAAAAAAAAATACAACTTCAAGACCAAAATATCACATCATTAATGACGGGACTCACTGTCACCTAATTAGTGGGAGCACTAATTAGTGCTCCCAAGCATTTTTCTTATTTTAATTATAAAAAGATGAGATATGTTTTTTAGTTTAATAAGATAAAATATTATATTTAATTCATAATTATTATATTTTTTTTCTTACAAAAAAAATTTAAAAGGACAAATGAGATTTTTTA